CCAAGAAGCGGGAACAGCCCACTGTCCATCATCCAACAGAGGCACAAATGAAAACGTGGCCAATGCATATGTGGAATATTATTCAGCCACAGAAAGAGACACTGACACACGATACGACATAGGTAAACCTCAAAACCATCACGTTGAGGGAAAGGAGCCAGTCATGAAAGCCCTTCCATTGAGGATCCATAGACAGGAAATACCCAGGACAGAGAAACAAGAGTCAAACACAGTTGACACCGCAGAGACATGCGAGAGGGAGGCAGAGCGATGGCCTGCTTCATTTTGGTTTCAGTCTGGTCAAGGTGTTTCGTTCAGTCAGGGCGTCTTGCTCGGTCACAGCGTTTTGCTCAGTTGCCCGCTCCCCACTCACGGTCCCCAGTCGGCGCCCGAGGCGCGCGGGGCAGGTGGCTGGGAGTACCCGCCGAGCCCTCTCCGCGGCTCTCAGCACGTCTGCGGAGGGGGGCCCGCTCGGCGCCCTGCGCGTTTTGTTTTGGTTACCGCCAGGTCGGGCGCTGCGCCCCCTCCCTGCCCTGGGCGAGGAACACCGGAGCCGTCGCACCCCACGAGGTCGCAGGGGCGGCCAGGGCGGGTCGGCTCTGGAACGCGCCGGGCGATCACCTTCACCTGGCCCAGATGGGCCGGCTCGCCGCTTCCCGGCTCCCAGCTTCCTTCCCTGAGCAGAACCTTCAAGCCGCTGTTGGATTCTGTCTTTGCTATCCCCGCGGGGCTGGTGACACCATGTCTTTAGGCGACTTTCTCCTTACTTTGCCTCGTGCAACAATACACACAGACACGCACACCAAGCGTCTGACTCCGGAGGACGCACAAAAGAGGTGGAAAATCCGGTATTTTCTCCCAGAGGGGGTAACACACCCTGCCGTTCAAAAAGCTCAAGCCCAACAGGGTGGGCGCCCCAGGAGGCGCTGGGTTGAGAGCGCCCCCACACCTTTCCTGCCGTCTGCCTTTGCCAGCCTACCCCCGCCCCCAGCTGCCGTACCCGGAGGGAGCCAGGCAGCGTTCGGGGGGCCGAGGACGCTGCCGTCAGCCCGGCCGCCCCGGCGGCGCTGAAACCCGACCCGAAGGAGTTCAGAATCAGGTTTCAAAACACGGCAGAGCCGGGCCGCACCAGCACCCCACGTTGCCGCGGCCGCTCTGGGAACCTCCGCGGGCAGCGTGAATGATTAACTCTGTCACAGGACACCTCGACGTCCCCAGACCCCTTGTGTGTCGCCAGCCCCCACTACACTCTCTTCCCTCTGCGGCGGCCCCTGCGACCTCCAGCGCCGGCCTGCGGCGGGAGCGGCTGAACCCCGGGGTCCCGGGGGCGTGTGCGCGCGCCGGGCCGGGGGTGACCCCACGGAGGTGCTGACCCCGGCCAGCCTCGCGGGCCTCGGTGAAAGCTGCTTCGCCGGCGTCCACACGCGCCTCCTTCGCCCCGCCAGAACCCGGTGGAGAGTGGCAACTTCAAAGCCAGCGGGATGGGGGTGG